GTCACAGAATGTGTTAAGTTGACCACACTGATTTTGTCTAAATTGTTTTATATCTTCTGCAAACCTAAGACTCAGAGACACAATTTGTTTATTTCAATGTGCTTAACTACTAAAATTTAACAATCTGTGTYTAGAGAAGTACCTTTAGTTAAAAAACAGTCAAATAAATGTACTGGCTAAACTTTACAGCCTGAAACAGTTGGTTTGATTTCTGCAGAGGTGACTCCATCAGCACCGTCTGCACACAAATACCAACACAACATTTCTGCACAAGTCAGCAGAGGGAAACCAGTGAGTTTTGCACCGTGTGACGTTTAAGTGAAGAAGTTTCTGTGTTTCATGTGATGACGACTATGACTCATGTAACATTTTGCTTTGAATTTCCTGGTTTCCGTTTAAAAAAAAAGCCCACAACAGCTGAAACGAAACATCTGTCTGGGTTAAAGTGAACAATTAACAGGAGTTCACAGAGAAAGTCTTGAGCTCATCAGGTGAATGCATGCGTACAAAAGGTGTTTTTTATTTCAGATCCTCTGTTAGGCCTCTCTGAGTGACAAATAAAGCTCGGTCAGAAGGGATTTTCCAAAATGGTGTCCGCAGTCCTTCTCAACTTCCTCACAAGGTCTCACGCTAATCACATTTTAATTTAAAAAATAAAAGCATGAATCTGAAACTCTTCTTCATTTAGTTTCCCTGACTCTGAAATGCTAGAGCTGGACATAAAAACAAAAACATTAAATACTACAACAGATAGTCACGTGATCAATATGAATATAAAATGCGTCTGATATGTTGATAATTTCACTGGACTCTAATCCAGAACTGCACAGCATTCTGGGATATGTAGGCAGAGGAGCTGGACCTGTCACGGCTCAGCTGTGGCATCAACTCACGCTCTCTTGGGTCAGCTGCAACAACCTGGGGCCTCATGTACAAAAACCTGTGTGGATTTCTTACTGAAACCTGGCATACGGTCAAATCCAGAAAATGGCGTACGCACAAAAAAATCCAGATGTATGAAACTTTGCGTACGCCTGAATCCACACACATTTCTTTTGTACATCACAACGAACGTGGAACTGAGTGCAGGTAAAACTCCTCCCCTGACACGCCTTCATTAACATATGTTAAACAGATGTAAATTACTTCCTGCATGTGTGAAGGACACGTTTGTTTGATCCCTGTGATCAGAAATGATTTCTAATGTCATAAAAATAATGAATTAAATATAATGTGAGTGAGAAAAAATCCTAAGTAAAAATAGGAATGAAATATGTTTATCACGCAAAGAACGAGTGATTGTGTGTGTGTGTGTGTGTGTGTGTGTGTGTGTGTGTGTGTGT